TATTTGAATCCCACCACTGGTTAGCAGTATCATTACTGACTAGCTAGAGTACCCGCCCCCTGGACGGGAGTTATGTAAATTCATGATAAATAAAAGGTTATCTTAGGACATGAAAAGCTGCTTCCCTTATATGTAACTAAAAAATTGCATTTATCACTGCATGGACCCAACAAACCTTCATGTCCAATTTGGTGAAAGTCGATTAACAGGGGTGAGGTAGTGGTAAAAAACGCCCATAAAAACAGCAAAACGTAAAATTTAAAACTGAAAATTTGTATGTAACCTCGCATGTACCAAATGAACGTCCATAACAATTTTGGTGAAGATTCACCCATAACCCGCGTAGTAGTTACATGGACATACAACAGACAGTACTGTGATATTTATATAGATTCCTGAAATTTTTGTTTAGGCGTACTATAGTTGCTATATTTACACTCGTTTTTGTTATCTTTAAAAATGATAAGAAACTTTCTACAAATGCCTGATTTGTTATTCTCATAGAACTGATTGTGACACATCCAATACTTTAGCTTTTCATCTAACAAGAAGTCTTTCTGATCGTTTCATTATTTTTGTGAGAACTAATTGTGACACATTTGATACTTCAGCTTGTCATGTAGTACATGTCTTTCTGATCGTTTCACTACTCTGTAAGAAATGATTTAGGTGTCAAGTAGCAACAAGTATTTCACACTGTTTCAATAATTTATGAGAAATGATAATCAAGTGTTCGATAATTTAGCTCATCATTTAGAAATCAGTTTTTTCCTGATAATTTCACAACTCTTAGCAAAAATTCTTCATGATCGTTTCAATATTTTGTGGGAACTGATTGTAAGACATCTGGTACCTTAGGCTTATCATACAGCAACAACTGTTTCTGATTGTTTCACTACTCTGTGAGACATCCTTTACTTTAGCTTATCACGTAACAACAAGTCTTTCTGATTGTTTCACTACTCTGTTAGACATCCGTTACTTTAGCTTATCATGTAACAAGTCTTTCTGATTGTTTCACAACTCTGTTAGACATCCTTTACTTTAGCTTATCACGTGACAAGTCTTTCTGACTGTTTCACTACTCTGTTAGACATCCTTTACTTTAGCTTATCACGTAACAACAACTGTTTCTGATTGTTTCACTACTCTGTTAGACATCATTTGCTTTAACTTATCATGTAACAACAAGTCTTTCTAATTGTTTCACTACTTTGTTAGACATCCTTTACTTTAGCTTATCACGTAACAACAAGTCTTTCTGGTTGTTTCACTACTCTGTTAGACATCCTTTACTTTAGCTTATCATGTAACAACAAGTCTTTCTGGTTGTTTCACTACTCTGTTAGACATCCGTTACTTTAACTTATCACGTAACAACAAGTCTTTCTGGTTGTTTCACTACTCTGTTAGACATCCGTTACTTTAGCTTATTACGTAACAACAACTGTTTCTGATTGTTTCACAACTCTGTGAGACATCCGTTACTTTCACTTATCACGTAACAACAAGTCTTTCTAATTGTTTCACTAC